TCAGCTCACTCTAAGGACAAAGAAGAGAGAAAGAAGTTAAAAGCCCAAGAAAAGACAGAAAGAGAAAGCAGCAAAGAAGGACAGGTACAGGAAAGATTTAGAGACAGTAAAGATTTGTGGGCCCAAAGAACATAAACCTTTCTGAGCAACACAGCCACCTTGTGGCCAGTTCAGATATTGCCACACCAACTGAATTGTCATGGCACTTTTGCAGTAACAGGCACCTAAGGTGTGGAAGCTATGGAAAGGAAGAGGCAGAAGGCCCCAGGTACGACAGGCTTCCTGTCACTGTCCCATCAGTACCACTTGGGTAAGCCACTTGACTTCTACCAATTCCACACTTAGTATGCTCTACCTGATAGGGTGCTATGAGGAAGAAAGAAGATGCTCGTAAAAACTAACAATGCATATATCAGAAGTCACAGCATTTTCAGTGTTAAACGACAGGAACAGCACAGGCATTTGTTTTCAAGACATGTTTTTCTAGGCACATGAGGCAAAATATTCTTAACTCTCACATTAATCAGGAAGTACAGCTGAGTAAACTAACCAAAATTTAAAGCAATTTAAAAATAATAGAACAGGATGTCAATGAATGACACAGCCAAACTTTCCTTTGTAAATTCCACATACACCAAAAGTTCAAAAGCTATCCTCACCATCCACTGATCACAAATTCCCTTTTCCAGGTCTAAAGGGGACTCTAAAACCACAGATCGTTATGTCTGCTTGCTGTGCTGCCTTAGGCCTCCTCTCAATGCAGGCCACAAGGCTCATGATGCACTTGATAATGATTAAATTATTACTGTGAACTATCACTATGCCAGTAACTTGGAACTGTCGCCTCTGTCTTCCTTAATACTGCTCAGTGTTTAGTACAGCTGCAAGACTGAATTATCGCTAACGTGCACATGCTTTATTTTCATCTTTTAGCAGAAAAGTCCGATTCTCTCATGGCCTGATGAAACTGTTGGCTTTCCATGCTGAATGAATTTCAACAAAAATTAGTCTTGGGGGTTGGAGAGATGGCTCAGCATCTAAGAGCACTGGCTGCTCTTGCAGAGGACCCACATGGTTGGCTAACAACTGTTTGTGACTCCAGTGCCAGAGATCCCTCACCCTCTTCTGGCCTTACAGTCAGTGCATGCATGTAGGCAAAATACTCATACACATAAAATAAAAATTAAAAAAATGAGTTTCACTTAAATTATGTGCATATATATCCAAAATATACCCCAAACATGCAAAATTCTCCAGGGCTAGCATTTCCTTCTCAAGCTGGAAGCTATTTTTAAGCCTTATCCAAATCTTTGTAAAAGTCTAAGTGAAAACTCAATAGTGTATCCAACCAGCCAACCAACAAAGCAACCAAGTATTTGTATGTTAGATGTTGTTCTCGGTATTAAGGACTCGGTAGTAGACAAGAGCCAGTTTCTTCTCTGCTATTAAGACTATTTCAGTGAGGACAGATGGAAGTTATGGGTATGAAGGGTTGGAGAGAGCTAGATACCATCAATAGTGAAGACCTCTCTGGTATCTGAGGCAAAGACTTATGAAGTGGATGAAGTGGCAGTGGAGCCACATGGACAGCTAGGACAAGTGTATTCTAAGCAGAAAGAGTAACTAGCGCAGACCAGGGGACAGGGATAGGAGGTGCAGGCAGGACCATGGGACATGCTTGGTGTATGTCTGAGAACACAAGGTGATCAGGGGGTCTGGGGTAGGAAGAAAGGAAAAAGTAGTACAAGATGGAATCAGAGAAGCTGTCGAGATCAGAGCCCTATACATGACTGTGGGAACCTTGAAGCCTTGGTAGGCAATTCTGAGACCTATGCAAGATGTTCTTAAAAGAATTTTAAGCAAGGGAGAAATGGGATGGAAAAAAGGGACAGAGAAGGCCACTGTAGAAATAGGAAATGATGAGCCGGGTGTGGTGGCGTACACCTTTAGTCCCAGCACTTGGGAGGCAGAGGTAGGCGGATCTCTGTGAGTTCAAGGCCAGTCTGGTCTACATAGTGAGTTCCAGGACAGCTGGGGCTATAGGGAGACACTGTCTCAAAAAGACCAAAAAAAAAAAAAAAAAAAAAAAGGAAATGATGGTAAGATTAGGATGTTAGTGGTAAAGACGTGGTGAGAGTCAGGGCATACTTTAATGACAGGCTGGGTTGTGAAGTATAAAGATAAAGATTTGAGCAAGAAGAATCAAAGGTGGTGGCAATGTTTTTGTCCTGGGCCCCTCGGTACCACTACCTGAGATGGGAGCACCAAAAGAGGCAGGTTGAGTGGAAGGGTTCTGAGCAGAGAAGAGGCCTTCTCATGTGAGAAGAGGAGGTAAAAGAATGAGTCTAAGAGTCTCAGAACTTGCTTGGCTCTTTGCAAATCCATTTTCCATCAATGTGTTACTGTTCAAAATTGCCTGATATCTGTTTGAAAAAACAGAGATGAACTAATTATGGCAGTAGCCACCATTTCTTGAACCACTGCTAATTTCCAGGCACTCTGTACACTGTAGTTAATTTATACATAATAGTATTTAACCAGGGCCCCTGGCACACTGCAAACAATCATTAGCTGTTAGCCATAATATCTGGAAAATATGTAACATTTAAATTTAAATAGAAGCTTTAATGGCTATTTCAGTGTCTAAAAGTTGTCTTTCCTTCTGCTTTCAAACGCCCCAGATCATTTAATGCCGTGATTTCTTTAGTCCTTAGATGTTGTTTCACTGTCCCTTTAACAAACAAGGAAGCCGCTCCAAAGCCCTAGCCATGCATCTTAAAGGCCCACCCACATCACACCCAGCAGTAAAACCTGCTAACTATTTGCTAGTCCAGGTAGCTCTGAGTATGAACTTGTCAGTTTAGCCAGACTAATTCTGAGCTACTTTGTTTCAGGCAGTTACACATTTACATTTCTGTTTTCATTCAGGTATCTCAACATTTTCTGGATTATAAATTATCTCATTTTTTCATATGTTAAAATGATGGTCTATGTTAGCCAGTTTGACATTTAACCAAACCTCCATTATTTTACAGATTAAAAAAAAAATGGAGCTTTAAAGAGGGCTGAAATAGCTCTAAGTTCAGATCTCTTTGAGTCCAAGTTCCTGCTCTTCTTTGTAGTTACTGAGACTAACCTAACATACCTGCCTTGACACACTACCCTACCTATAGTCTGGAGTCACATAAGGTGAACACCATAGTCTATTATACTTTAAAGACTCTAAATACATTTTTATTCTGTACTCCCTGCCTTATACTGAAATTCCAAATTATAATCCCTTCAATTATGTTTTCTCCTTAAAAACACAAATTTATTAAGACATGAGTAAAATAAGATCATTTTGTAACACTTCAGAGAACAGTAAAAGTCACAAATACTGTATGAAATCCCGATTATGAGGTGGTCTCCCTATGTTATTACTTTCATTTTAGAGAATTTCTGATCACAGCAACAAATGTTAAAGGACAGCATGGCAGAAATCATGGAAGCTGAACTCTAGTCCCAGCCAGCTGTATATCTAAAGGCCTAAAACTTTTATTTTGTTTTGATAAAATTAAGTAATATATACTTCTACAGTTCTGAGGGAAGGAGTTAATGAGTTTCAAGTCACAAGATATAATGCAGTTATCCCTGAGGATTCTTTGGGAACTGGTTCCAGGACCCCTCTCATATAACAAACTCAGAGGATGCCCAGTCCCTTATATCACGTACTGTAGTATTTGCATCCTATCACACATAGCGAAATGCTCACTAGATTACAAACAATATCTAAATATAAATGCAGTATATTAGTTGTTGTATTATACTGCTTAAGTAATAATGACAAAGTACACATGTATTTTCCCCTGAATATCTTCAATCCACAATTGGTTGAATCCATTGACATGAAACACACAAATACAAAGGGCCAACTGTATATGAAAGCTCTGAAAAGAGATAGTTAAGAAATAGACAACACAAAAGCAGGCACCAGTTACTATACAGGTTGTTCATCCTTAATCCAAAATTGTGAAATGGTTAAAAAATCTGACTTTTCTTTTTTTGATTTTGCAGAGTTGATCAGGTTGGCCTGGAGTTTACTATGTAGCCCAGGAAGGCCTCAAACTAATGATTCTCTTGCCTCAGCCTCCTGAATGCCAAGACGAGAGGCGTATACCACCAAGATCAGTAAATCTGAAACTTTTTGAATACTGACGTGACATCTGACTCCATGTGATGTATCACAGTCAAAACATAGGCACACTAAAAATACTATACTATAATTACCTTCAGGCTGTGTATATATGAAGATTATATATGAAGAATATGCTTTAATCCCAACACTGGGGACGCAGAGGCAGGCGGATCTCTGAGTTCCAGGCCAGCCTGGTCTACATAGTGAGTTCCAGGCCAGCTGGGGCTACAGGGAGACCCTGTCTCAAAAAGACCAAAAAGTATGAATTTGGGATGTAAACCTGAGCTCTAACACCAGGCTATCTCATTATGTATACATATACATAACAATAAATATAAATGAATAAAAATACAATAAAAATAACACGTAAAAATAAAATAAATGAAATAAAAATAGCTACAATGCAGGGCTGGAGAGATGGACCTGGGTTCGGTTCCCAGTACCCACATGGCAGCTACAAACCGTCCTTAACTCCAGTTCCAGGGGAATCCAAAGCCCTCTTCTGACCTCCGCAGCATTGCATGACACGGGTGCACTCACATACATGCAGGCAATACACTCATACATGTAAAATAAAAATAATAAAATATTTAAAAAAAATAGCTACAATGCCACCCCCCAAAAATCCCACAAACAAAAAAACCCTGACAAAATACAACAAAAAGCCTCTAATATTTCTCAAATAGTTCTTTCTGGTAGCAAACATTTGGGATAAGGGACACTCAATCTCTATTATCATTTATATATTTTGAGCAAATATTTCATCAGGAAATTTGAGACATTAACTGAAATCCAAAATCAATTAATGCAAACATTATTTTACCTTCATGTTGCAAGCTAATTCCATTAGTTTCTTTGCATTTTCTTCTGAGCGGTATCTTTTAGGAAGCTGAACCCTGAAAAACTTCAAGGCCCCTTCAAAATCTGTCAATAGCAGGTCATCCTTGGAAGTCTTGAAGAAAGCAAAAAATACAACCATATGTAGCAAAAAAGTTTGTTATGATGGATATACAAGAAATATTTATAATCCCAACAAGTTTAAAAACTCCCAGGAGACACTTCTTAGATTTTTTTGTTTGTTTTTTTTGGTCTTTTTGAGACAGAGTCTCCCTGTAGCCACAGCTAGCCTGGAACTCTCTATGTAGATCAGGCTGGCCTTGACCTCACAGAGATCTACCTGCTTCTGCCTCTGGAATTAAAGGTGTGTGCTACCACACCTGGCTGATACTTCTTGGTCTTTGCAGAGTAGCTTATACATATTCAGTCAGTAGAAACGGTGGAGGGCAACGACCACTTAGAATGAGAATGGGAACTAAAGACACAGCAGGTGCTGAAAAGGGACACCAGACACTTCAGCTCAGGAAGGGACATATACCTTTAGTAATCCAAGGGCGACGTTAAAAATGACACTTATTCCCTGAAAGAGAAAATACAAAAAGACCATTTTCAGTATCTGTATCTGTTCTGTTATCTTCATAATTCTAGAGAAATTATGAAAACTTAAAGGAAATGGATTACCTTAGAATTATCTTGGAAAATACAAACTTCAGAGTCATCACTGTAAAGGTATTTAAAGTAAATCCAATCTCTAGTTTCCTCAGAGAAGATCTTTTCTAGCCCTATTCCTATATCCAAAATGAATGTTTTTTCCAAAACAGTCCATGATCCCTGTCATAAAATTGTTACCTATCAGTATGGCAATCCCACATCTCCTCAGATTACTCTCAAATGTCTGTTGCTTCATCTAACCAATATGGGAATTGTGGGGTAAAGAACAATGAGGGAAAGTATTTTCACTAATCTGCAAATTAATCTGTTGAGGTATCTGGACTGCAGTTTCGATAACTAGTATTCTCCTAAGGTATTCTGGGATAACTCATTAAAAAGTTTATGTAATCATTTTTGGTTCTGATTACTTGGTGATGGATAAGTTCCATTAAGATGTGCCAATGTGCTGGCATCAGAGCTGAGAATCACAGTGTGGTGCATGTGCTGTGTGTTTTTTATTGAATTATAGAATTGGCTTTTTCCTGTTAAATCTTACTCTGGGATATGTGGATGACAGGCATGTAAAAGAAAATTAAACTGCATGCCCTCTCAGCCATCACAAGGTTTTATGTTTCTCAGTGAGCCTTTAAGGAAGACTTGTGAGGTGACTCTTGTGTGTTGTTAATTGTAAATATATGATAGCTTATGAAAACCACACAGTTATTTGTACAACAATGTTAATAATAAGAGATTTAAAACTAAAAAAAAAAAGTTTATGTAACTCCCTTAGCACCCACCTGGACCATAAGTAACACTACTTAACAGATGGTCACTTATGATAGTGAAAAACAGCAACAGACTACATGGCGGCAAGTAAAGATAATGTTATATGGTAGTATTGACTTTGATAATGAACTTTATAATATTTTAGGTTAGACAGTAACACATTCCTTATGGCATGTCTGCCTGCTTGCCTACCTTCCTTCCTTGTGGATTTGTGATATTTGTGTATGTGTACATTTATAGTGGTCAGAGGTTGATGTTGGGTATTGTCCTCAGTTGCCTTCCACCTTATTTATTTCATTTTATTTTTGTTGGTCTTTTTGAGACAGGGTCTCCTTGTAGCCCCAGCTTGCCTGCAACTCACTATGTAGACCAGGCTGACCTTGATCTCACAGAGATTCACCTGCCTCTGCCTCCAGAGTGCTGGAATTAAAGGTGTACACCACCACGACTGGCTCTACTTTATTTTTGAAAGGAGATCACCAATTGGATAGACCCGTGTCCAGAAAGCCCCAGGGATCTTCCTGTATCTACCCTCCCCAGCACTGGAGTTAAAAACTCCATGGGTGCCACCATACCCAGCTTTTATGTGCATGTTGGGGATCTGAACTCAGGTCCTCATGTTTGCATGGTAAGGACTTTTTCAACTGAACCATCTCCCTAACATCTCTTTATGCATTTTTGGATGCTCTCAATATAAATAGAATGGATAGTATAGATGTGTATCTATATATACTGAAGTATATGAAATGAGTAAGGATAACAAACAGTAATTACATTTTTCAATATACAACTAGAACCATAATATATAATATTCCAAGCAGAAAAATGTAATATCCTATATAGAAATTATGCACATACACATGAACACAACAGGTAAAAGAATACACGCCAAAATGCTACAAGTAATAAAATTTTAGCAAAAGTGAGACTATTTTCAAAATGTTTTATATTTCTAAATTTTTTGTAATAAGCACATTATTTTGTAATTAGTTTTCTCTTTTATTTCTTAAAAGACATACATACCTCTCAAACCTCAAACTATGTCATGACAAAGGCTGTCTTTAACATTGCCTTGTTTCTTTTTAGTAATGATGTTTTATTTTTGGCAAATCCTATCTAGCCTTAAGAACATCTTCCTTATAGCTGGGATGGTGATATAGCCAGGTTCTGGCTAACCTGTGGCTATGCTGAGTGGAGCTCCAGGAAGGTCTTTCTTTTTAAAGAAGAATGGAGGCAGGGCGAGAGTGTTGTAATCTCTAATTTTTAAATCTTAGCATTCAGGAGACCCTCAACAAACAAACAGAATCTCTTAAAAGGGGAGAGAAAGGGGCCAGTCTTTGCCCCCAACCCAAATACAGACATGAAGGCTGTAGCTTAGTTCTGTATAAAATCAGGGTACTGTCAATATTCCGCCTTCCTCGGATGAGAGGTAATTTCACTTAGTCACTGTTATGCAGTCAAACAGAGTATTAACTAGTCTAAATGTTCAGTTTGTCTTTTAGCAGAGAACATCTCTATCAAGAACGAGCAGGGTACTGGCCTTAGGAAGAGCCACGTTAGCCCAGATTGGATAGCACCAAAATAAAACAGTGGGATACGTGTGTGACAGAGCTGACACTGAAGTACACTGCAAACAGAAGTCAAAATGGCCTGATACATACCTCACATAAGAGCAAGTCGATGATATGGAAAACCATGTAGAGAGGGAATTTTGCAGTGAAAAGTGTTAGAAACCACTGGGAGGCATACATGTGTGCTTCAAGGCTGATATCCAGGAAGTGGTTGTACAGGTCAGGAATGTACTCCTGAAAGAGCAGAGTAATTAGTTCTAGGCACATATGCAGCTATCCTCTTCTCTCCCAGGAGCCTCATAAATCTGCCACAACAGACCAAAAAAGTCAAATACTTGTGTTTTTCTAAAAATCTTTGAACTGCTCAGAACACTTATCTGGTACTAAGGCTGGCACAGACTAATCTAAAGAAAGAGGAATCCCCAGAACAATGAGAAGAATCTGGAAAGTCAGTTTTTATTTCCGAGTTATGAAATGTTTTGAAAAAGTCCATTTCACTTTGTTTTGGGACTCCTAAGCAGGCAACGTTACAGCCTTAGTGAGGCTTCCTGCCTGAGTTTGCTGTAGAAAAGGCCCTGACTAATCACTTGCTCTTTAGGTTGTTTATAAGACTGAAAACCCAGCTCAAACACTTAATTTTGGCATCCCCATCATAGTGAGAAATGAAAGAAGTAAAAGCCACTGTTCTCCACTCTTCCTCTCACTAGCCCTATGTTTTTTTTTGTTCAAACCAGTAGAGTTCCCTTACCTGCATGAGGCGCTCCAACTGGTAAAACTTGCAATGTAAATCTTCAAAATTTTGCTTGAAAAGTTCCCTGAGACCATAGTCAAACATGATCTTGACCAGAACACTGAATGCCTGTTCTTCAGGCATCTGGAACAGATAGGCAATGGAGGCGTGGAATCAAAATACATACACCAGTCACCTTAGTATTTAAAGCTTGTCCTACTGTCTCCTAAAGAAATGGAGTGGTGTACAGAAGCTCTCATGTTCTGTTTAATATAATTCATTCACTCAGCCAAGAAATGTTTGAAGAGGCCTACTTTGTGCTAGCACTGCCTCCCCCACAGTGAGAGTATAGTAACTGCAATACGAACTAGGTAGAAGGATTGGTGAGCACAGGAGAAGACAGCACGGCTCGTACTTCCTGCAAGGAGTCAAGAACCTGCCCAAACTGCTTTCCTTTCTTAGCCTATCATTGCCAAAAACATAGCTTCTTGGGTTGGAGAAACAGCTCAGCAGTTAAGACCACTTGCTGCTCTTGCAGAGGACCTGTGTTTGTTTCCCAGCACCCACATGGAAGTTTACAAACCATCTGTAACTCCAGTTCCTGAAGAATCCAATGTTTTTTTTCTAGACACTGAGGGCACTTGTATGTGATGCATATGAGCTCATGCAGGCACATATAAATACACACAAGTAAAAAAGCAAATACATTTTTTAAAAAACCAAAACAGATTGTTATACATTCTTAGGTCTGTGTTATTACTTAAAGTATTACACTAACAGTGATGATAAAAGTGCTCCAAAACCCTCCTTTATTTGTCTACGAATGCTATCCAATTTTATGGTATGTACAGCTTCCCTGGCTTTATGGAACATTTCTCCAAGAACCTGGACATATTTCTAGATTTCAGAACACAAGAAAATCACTGCCAATGTTATTTAAGGCTTGGTGTGACTGTAGCAAGCTTTCAAAAAAGTCAGGAATGTGGGCGAGCTTCTGTAGCACCCGACGATGGAGGTGGACAGAACACAGTGAGAACAAGGTAAAGTTAAAGAGCAGTACCGAAACAGCACAGCAGATTATTACTGGAAACGAGAAGACAGAAAGTGGGTTTTTTTCCCTTCTTTTTCTTCCCTACCTATAACATAACCTTTAAAAAATGGCTTAAAACCCTCCCAAGACTTGCTGCCCTCTCAAGAGAAAACATGCAGATTTGACCGTGGCTTCCATGGCTCCCTAGCTGGCCCTTATTTTCCTCTCCAGCTCCTTTCTTCTCTCCTCCAGACCTCACACTCCAATGATGCTGCCCCCTTTAAATCTGTACATTTGGAGTTCCCCAGCTTCTATATACCGTACCACCCCTTTGCCAGCAATGCTCTACTCTGCACTTCTGTGCTTTCGTAATATTTCCACGGCAACATAAAAAGGGAAAAGTTAAATGACAATGAAAAACGCAAAAGAGAGTGACAGTCTTTGTTTGTCAGGGCTTTGTGAAGGTCATCTCCAGGAAGAGCCTATCAGCTGAGTAAGGCTCTCTGCTATAGTCCTGCAACGTTCATCCTATATCATGCTCACGGCACCACTAAAGCTCATGAAGACATGCCTGCACAGTTATCTGCTAGGAGCAGGCATCCAAGCCTGCTGAGCCATCTCTCCAGCCTACGTGCAACATTTTATAAGACAATTTTACCTAATTAAAAAAACCCAGTGGCTTGAAATAAAGGCAAGTAGGGTGATTTAGATTAAAGGTGTAATGACAAATGACAAGCAAATGCAATGTCTGATCTCCACTGGACCTAAAGGCTATAATGGAATATAAGGGGTCAGAGATACCTCAGTGGTAAAGCACCTGCCTAGTACGTGAGTTCTTGCATTCAATCACCAGCACTGCAGAAAACAAAAACGAGGGCTGGAGAGATGGCTCAGAGGTTAAGAATGACTTCTCTTGCAGAGGACCTGGGTTCGATTACCAGCATCCACATGGTGGCTAACAACCGTCCATAACACCAGTTCCAGGGGATCTGACGCCCTCTTTTGATCTCTATGGGCATTACAGAATATGGGTACACTTACATACATGTAGCCAATACACTCACACACATAAAATAAAAATGATAAATACTTTTAGGGGCTGGAGAGACGGCTCAGTAGTTAAGAGCACTGGCTGCTCTTGCAGAGGACCTGGGTTCAATTCCCAGCACCACATGGAGGCTACAAACCGTCCTTAACTCCAGTTCCAGGGGAATCCGAAGCCCTCTTCTGACCTCTGCAGCATTGCACGACACAGGTGCACTCACATACATGCAGGCAATACACTCATACACATAAAATAAAAAAATATAAAAAAGTTAAATGCTGCACGTTCTTAATTTGTCTATTCATTTTCTTGTAAGGTAAAAGTCTGTAGCAAGAGCACCACCCAGGTGGTGTCAGCAGTTTCTGAGTGTCATGCTAGAGAGCAAAAGTGAATTGAACAGGGTCCTCATCCACATGGTGCAAAGCTAGCCAGCTACCTGCCTGCTCCAAGCAGATAACTAACTGTGCGGGCATGTCTTCATGAGCTTTAGTGGTGCCGTGAGCATGATATAGGATGAACGTTGCAGGACTATAGCAGAGAGCCTTACTCAGCTGATAGGCTCTTCCTGGAGATGACCTTCACAAAGCCCTGACAAACAAAGACTGTCACTCTCTTTTGCGTTTTTCATTGTCATTTAACTTTTCCCTTTTTATGTTGCCGTGGAAATATTACGAAAGCACAGAAGTGCAGAGTAGAGCATTGCTGGCAAAGGGGTGGTACGGTATATAGAAGCTGGGGAACTCCAAATGTACAGATTTAAAGGGGGCAGCATCATTGGAGTGTGAGGTCTGGAGGAGAGAAGAAAGGAGCTGGAGAGGAAAATAAGGGAAATATTTAAAAAATAAAAATAATGCTTTCAAAAAAAGAAAACAAAAACAAACACACAAAGCATACAGGGGTGGGAGGGGGACACTGGGCAGACTGTGTGCCAGGCACTGAGCCAACGTGGGATGTGATCACGAGGTCAGGGTTATGATGGAGAATGCCCCTGTCCTTACCAGATACATGCTCAAACATTTTTGAGGAAAGCATCTCAATGTTTGCTACTACCCTTAGAAAATAATTTCAGAATTTTTTTTCCTAATAAAAAATAAATTGTATATAGAACGAGAAAAGAAGGACAAAGATAAATTGGTGTAGAAAATAGCTGCAAGTTAGATGAAGACTAAACACGGCTGTGCACCTTGACATTTTTGACATCTCTATGTATTAAAATTTTTTCTTAAATATTTTTATTTTTATCATTTTTATTTTATGCATACGAGTGTACTGCCTGCATGCATGTGAGTTGTGCAATGCCTGTGGAAGTCAGAGGAGGGCATCAAACTCCCTGGAACTGGAGTTATGGACAATTGTTAGCCGCCATGTGGGTGCTGGGACTCAAACCTGGGTCCTCTGCAAGAGAAGTCAGTGCTCTTATGTGCTGAGCCATTTAAGGGGTCTGAGAGACAGTTAAAAGCACTGGCTGCTCTTCCAGAGCACCTAGGTTTGATTCCTAGCACCTACATGACCTCTAACAACTGCCCCTAGTTCCACTTCTAGGGGATCCAACCCCTTCTCCTAACCTCTCCAGGATTTACATGACATAGGTGCACTTATATACAGGCAGGCAAAACACTAATAATACAAAAATAATAAATCAAAAAAAATTTTAATTAAAAAAAAGCATTGGAGAGTAAAGGTCTTTGTTAAATAATGTATGAATAAGTTATACTAAAGAAGCCTTGTTTTCTTCTCAGCATAGAAATCCCTGAACTGGTATTAATGACAGTGACTACTTTACAGACAAATGTCCCTAAGGGTCAACCAATAATGAAGTCAATCCAATCTTCTGAGGAAAAAAAAGGAAACCTAACCTTTTACCTATCAGTTTTCAACATTGCCATTTTTCCCTCATCAAGTTTCTCTTTCACTATGACATTAAAGGTTTCCAGATATAGATGTTAAAATTTATGCCCAAGAGTCTGGCCAAGCCCAATTTAAAACCATGTTTAAGCCTAAGGCAGGCCATGTGTAAGTCCTAATGGTGACCCGATTACTCACGTGGAGAAGCAGCACAGCAGCAAGAAAAGACTGGCCCTGGCAATAGCCGATCTCTTCATCATATACAGAATAAGCCTGGGGTGGGGAAAGAAATCAACAAGTTGTTTAAATGAATGCAACACTCATGGGCCGTCCTTGTTCTCTAGGACCTTGAAGACAGGGATCTAAAGGATGCCACCCAAGCCTCAATGGAGCATTTTGATGGTCAAAGAATGATACCAACACATCTCTCCAATCTCAATGTCTTCTTCACAATAAGAGGAACGGTCACCACACTACTTCTTGTGACCAGAGTGGAGAATGTTAATCAAAAACCACTTGAACACTAAAACAGATTCTAACAGCTCCTTGTCACTGCTCATGTTGTGCCTACAGCATGTTCTTTTCTACCTAGACAATGCACTCTTCTTTAAGCCCCCAAATATTCCAATTCACCCAGAATTAACCCCTCTTCTCTGAAACTCTGCAGTATGTGGCACACATGAATGGCTACCAAAGCACTCACCATAATTGCATTTTCTTTCTTTCTTTTTTTAAAATTTTATTTTATGTGTATAAGGGTATTGCCTGCATCTAAGTGAGTGCACCCATGTTGTGCAATGCTGCAGAGGTCAGAAGAGGGCTTCAGATTCCCCTGGAACTGGAGTTAAGGATGGTTCACAGCCACCATGTGGGTGCTGGGAACCTGGGTCCTCTGCAAGAACAGTCAGTGCTCTTAACCACTGAGCCGTCTCTCCAGCCCCCATACTACATTTTCAATGTCCATCTTCTCCACTGAACTCAAGAAGTCCTGAGGGCTGGGATGCTGTCCTTCTCAACTAGGTACCCACTAACATCGTTATTCTTACTTAATTTTCTTTCTGGAGGAAAGGCTTTTGGAGAAGACACTAAAATACAATTCCTTCCATAATGCCAGAGGTAACATTTCTGATAAGAGTGATTACTCTAAAATAATTTGTGGCTTCCTCTGGAAATCTTATTTTTACTTTTCTTGGCAACAGATGGCCAATGTCTCTCTCCCATGAATATTATCTTGAATAGAATATGGACATCTAATATTCCCCATCTAAGACCCCACTCTAGCTATTTTTCAGAGCTCTGTTTACTTATGATTAGTATTAGTAGTTCTCATGTAAACTGTGGGGAATTACCATAGATTAAAGATGCTATTCCCTATATGAAAGATTTATTTCTTATGAAGCTTTCTTTATTTTCCTACCTTTGTATGCCAAGGTTCCTGTGTCCTAAGAACATAATTTAAAATTGGGTCTATTTAGAATTTTGTCTTTTTGGAACATGTAACACCAGTTATTGTCAGACAATAGCTTAATTTATGGACAGGTTTTATTAGCCTTTAAAAATAGATATAGGAGGCTGGAGAGATGGTTTAGCAGCTCAGAGCACTGGCTGCTCTTGCAGAGGACCTGGATTCGATTCCCAGCACCCACATGGTAGCCAGCAACTGTCATCCGCAACTCCCATTCCAAGGAATCCACTGCCTTCTGACCTCCATGGGCACTGCATGACATGTTGCACTTACATGCATGCAGGAAATACACTCCTATATACGTAAAATAAAAATAGTAAATAAAATATTAAAAAATAAAAATAACGTATCATTCCCACACCGAAGGACATTTGGAGAACACAAATTTGACCTGATATGTGCTCTCTCTCTCTCCTCTCTCACATATATACAGATAATACATGAAATTGGGCAAGGAGTAATAAGCGGGGTACATCTAGGGGAAAGGGTCTAAATATGATCAAAATAAATTGTATAAATTCACCAAAAACAGATATAATCATGTCTTCATAAATTCAGGTCAAATTCAGTTTAATCTTGTTAAACTTCCCGTCTCATCAGAGCTCGTGTGACAGATGAGAAACAAGTATACTTTTTCTAAGGTAAGATAAAAGTGAGGGTTTCAGAAGCGATGTGTTTAAGATGCCATGAGGCACCACTTTCTACCTCTTAAGTTAATAAAATAAATGTTAGGGCCAATATTGTTTAAAACTACCACTAATAATTGCTGAAAGCTCTTTGCAAAGTATTTTGTTAGTATTTTTGAAGGTATCAATCAGTAGTTTATCAGTTATAGAGTAAGAGGTTTGAATTGTCAGTTTTCATGGATCTAGTGACATTATTTTTACTATTAGATGAGAATAAACACACTATCAGTATTGTAGTGTGACCTTCCTATCCCATCCAGTCTTCTTATGGAAAATGCTCAAAACAGTGAAAATAGATCAATGGAATCTCCATAAGTAGAGCATGGAGGGGAGCATATTATTCAGTCTGGTGAGAGACTGAATGAATGAAAACAGGTATGAAAGTACATGATGTATTTGGAGCGTTTGGTGTGCAAGGCACAAGGGTTCATAATGAAGAATGGGGAAGACAAGTCATTCATTAGTTCACACACAATTAATGATCATCTATTATATGACTAACAGTGTACCAAGTACTACAGAGGCTAGTATATATAAAAGTGACTCCTGTACTTGAGAACTTCAGTCCAGTGGGGGCATTAGACAGCTCAATCAAGCCATGTACTGTGACAAGTTCATTTGGAGAAGCAGGAGTAAGTAAAAAGTCAGGATCTATTACGAATCATTACCAATGCTCCAATAAGGAATCTAGGAGCAGAAAAATGAATTAAGGGGTTTTTATTTCATTCTATTGTGTTATGATGCAGTACTGACCACTATTTATTAAACTCTTTTCACTGCACTAATCAGCTTCTGTATGTGCTAGAAATTTTTCACAATAAACATGCTTTTTGTTCCTACTACCAACAGATTTTGACATAGATACTAACTGGCTTCTGGGAATTTAGATCCCTTGGGGATAATAAGAGCTGGAGCAACTGCCAAATGAACACCTAGGGAAGGCCTCTGTTGTGGGGCCAGCAGTGTGAGACAACAAACACGCCGTGGGGAGGCTGAGAGAGGTCAGAGTATGTCCAGGAGGGGAGAGAGTCAAAGTGGAGAGCTGCAGCGATACCAGACAGGAGTAGGAGGCAGTGGGAACTGACTGCTGGAGCAACCACAAACTACAACTCGGTGTTTTTCTTTTTCTTTAAAGATTTAGTTTTATGTACGTGAGTGCACTGCCTCCATATATGTATGTTCAGTGTGTGCCTGGTACTCTTGGAGGCCCAAAGAGGCTGTTGGATCTCCGGGAACAGGAGTTATAGATGGTTGTGAGCTGTCATGTGGGTGCTGACATTGGAACTTCAGTCCTCTGCAAGCACAGTACATGCTCGTAATCATCTCTCCAGCCCTGTTATTATTTCCTGTTTTTTGATGAGTCTAAAATTGGGTTACCTTGGTTTTAGATTCTCTTTTGTCTTCTCTATCCTTTTTGCCAATCTTTAAATTTTTTTAAATTTATATATTTTTATTTTATGAGTATGAGTGTTTTGCCTGCATGTAGGTAAGTGTACTGTGTGTGCCAACGCCCAGAGGCCAGAAGAGGGTGCTGAATCCCTGGAACTGGAGTTATAGCTGGTTGTTAGCAGTCACATGGGTGCTGGGAACCAAACCCAGGTACTCGGCAAGAGTGGTTAGTGGTCTTAACCATTGAGTCATCTCTCCATTCCCCGCCTCCCCCCGCAAACTTGAACGTCAAATACAAATTACACTTTGTAACCAGCATGGAACACATTTCTATTCCTACCATTTGGAAAGTGGAGGCAAGAGGATTAGGAGTTTAAGGCCAGCCCCTTATATATACTAAGCTTAAGGACAGCCTGGGCAACATGAGACCCTGCCTCAAAACAAAACAAACAAACACCCACACAAAACTTAAAGGAAGTCGAAATCAAACAAAAAACCCGTATTACACTTTGTAGTTGTCTAACATAATTACAAAGAACCAGACCATCATCCAGAATGGAACCTTTTTATATTTTGATAGGAACTACCTTGCATATTTTGTATAAAGAATCTTGTCCATCTCCTCCTGTATCCTTGAAGTAGTCATGAGCTGGGAATGTTCGGTTAATATCCCTGGTGATAGCACTGTCTTGGGGAGATTCCTGTGGAAAGAAGGAAAGAAGGGGCTCAGGGGTGTTAGTAGTATAAATACCTGTTGGAGTTTGTGGTGGTTTGAATGGGAATGACCCCCATAGGCTCCAAGTATTCAGCCATTTTTGTCCCCAGTTGGTGGTGCTGCTTTGGGAAGTTTTAGGTGTGGCCATGCTGGAGGAAGCATGTTGCTGGAGGCGGGTCTAGGGAGTTCTTAAGCCTTGCTGGATCCCCAGTTGCTCTCTGCTTCCTGTGCCTGCTTGCAGATGTGAGAGCTTAGCTTCTGCTCCTACTCCAGCCACCTCTGCTGCCACACCTCCCCACCATGATGGATTCTTGCCCCTTCGGAACTATAAGCTAAATAAACTCTTCCTTTTATAAGTTCCCTTGGTCACAGTGTTTCTATCACAGCAATAGAAAATACAAGGTTTATATAGAAAGGTCCCATTGTTTACATCCTTTAGGTGCTCTAAGGACAAACACATTTTTTATCGCCTCTTCAGGAACTAATCACTCAAGCAAATGTAATGAGTGTGGGTAAGAGAGAACAGAAGTCACTTATTTTATGTACCTCATGCTATACTCCCTAAATACTGCAAAGTGCAGCCAGTGACCTTTCTATTGTATGAAGGCAAATATGCTACTAAAAGTTGATTTCTCACAAAAAGATACTCAAGTTGACCTCAAAGTAAAAGGTAAAGTGTCCCTAATAGAAAAACTGAGTACAAAAGCAATTAAATCAATTAATGATTTGTCAGCATGAATCTCATGTGCCCATTCTCAAATGGAAAGGCAAGTCCCTTAATTGGAGTTTTCCTAGGTGTAAAATGGCATAAGAATGCACGCAGCACTTAACTCACTATGAAGCAAGACTACCAATGGCAACAGATTCAAATATGCTATGAGAACCTCTTTTTCCCCCAATAGAGAAAACTCGTTTCTTTTTCGATACTGAGTTAACAAAACTAAACAGATAACAATAATGTCAACAGCTCTTCAATGAAAAATACCAAGCACCCAGCTAGTTCTAATTAATTCCTCCCCTAATAGTTTTCATCAATTTATTACTTCTTCCCATTGGGATCAGGCAATGAAAGGACAAGATGCTCCTAAGAGAAGGGCCATTTGAAGATTCACATGATGGCTTTTTTAATCTTTCAAGAATGATAATAAATTGAGTAGTTTCATGTGAATCAATTGCTTAAAATATTTGGTCTTAGGAAATATGCTGAAGAATTTGGAATAAATCCACTTGATTTGCCATAGGCCAAGTCAGATGAAAATCATCCAGAAATTCTAATAATAATGCATTTAGTAAGTTCTTGTCATAATAAGACACCAAGAATCTCAAAAATCTGAAAACAAATCACAGCAACATTAAGAATGCCCCTTCCTAAGAAACCACAGCAAAAAGCCTTTGTACAAGCACCCAAATGTGTGTAAGGCTGGGCATTCCTTTTATCCTGCAGTAACTAAATATTGATACAGCTCATATAGAGAGCTTGCTGTGCAACTCATAGTGAATAATATTACTGATAACCAAGGTGATTAAGTTAGCCAGTAGTAAAATGGCTTTCAACCAGCCAGTATTTAGTAAAATGGCTGAGAGACAGAAGCTGTTACAAATTTACTTAAGGCAACAGTACAGGACTAGAAACCTGAAAAGAATAAAGAACACACAGCAAAACTACTATCAGTGATCCATCCTGACAGTTACTAACTTTATAGCAGAAAATTTTTGATTAGCTGGTTTTGTTGTGGCTTCTTTATTTATCCCAATAAAATCAGCTTTAAAATCTGCAAGAAAAAATCTCCCTCCCCTAATCCACTTAGAGCTGGACATGGTGAAATATGGCTGTAATCTTAACAATCATAAAGCTGAAGGTCTTTAATATTATTTACTAATGAAAGGAACAGAGCTTCTTGGAGAAATAACCAAAAATGGGGTGAAAAACACCAAAGATATGCTCAGTGTGGCATGCACACCTTTAGTCTCAGCACTCGGGAGGCAGAGGCAGGTGGATCTCTATGAGATCGAGGTCATCCTGGTCTACATAATGAGTTCCAGGTCAAATAGGGCTACAGGGAGACCCTGACTCAAAAAGACCAAAACAAAACAAAACAAAAACCTCAAAAAACCCCAAACCCCAAACAAACAAAATACAAAGGCAGCAAGCCAGCAATTTTTGTTATTTCCAGAAACTAAGAAATGCTTTTCTTGCTGGGTGTGGTGGCACATGCCTTTAATCCCAGCACTCTGGAGGCAGAGGCAGGTGGATCTCTGCCAGTTTGAGGCCAGCCTGTTCTACAGAGTGAGTTCTAGGCCAGCTGGGGCTACAGGGAGACCCTGGCTCAAAAAGACCAAAAACAAAACGAAACAAAACAAAACAAAAAACCCAAAGCAAAAAAGAATGCTTTTCTTTTATTATCACTACAAACCAAGCCAGAGAACCTGATAAGAACACTACCAACATCAGAGTGCCTACACTGATAGGTCATAGGGATATAGCAGTCAATGAAAAGTTCTCCCAATGACCTAGCCAAAACAACTTAAGCAACAAATTGATATGGTGCTACTGGGTTACAGCCTTGCATAGGAAAGAAATATCCATGAGTCTAAACATACAAAGATGAACAAAGGGTTAAATACATAAGTAGGGTGAAGAGATAAACTGCCCACACAAAAGGAAGGAGAGGGTAACACTCCACTACTCAAAAGTGTGGGCTGAGCATGGTGACTTCCTCTAGAGGAGTTGCAGTACAATAAGGAATGGGGGGAAAGGAGTGACCTGAGTCGGGAGAACCGACGTCAGAGAGATACCAAGGTCACGATCAACAGTGGGAAAGTCATTCTGATTGCGCATACCCTTCATATGGTATGAAAATGGTCTTCTCCTTTGTGTTCCTCCTTCCTCAAACTCATGAGACAAACATCAGACAACTTCTTGAGACAAATATCAGACAACTTCTTGAGACAAATATCAGACAACTTCTTGAAATACATTCTACAAAAGACTTGACCAGTATTCCTTAAAATTCCCAAGTGGCAGGGCTGGAGAGATGGCCCACAGGTTGAGAGCACTGACTGCTCTTGCAAAAGACCTGAGTTTGGTTCCCAGCACCCACCCGCATGGCTGCTAACAACCATTTATAACTCTAGTTCCAGGGGGATCTGCAGCCCTCTTGTGTCCTCCATGAGCACTGCACACGGTGCACTTACAAACATGCAGGCAAAACACTCATACACATAAAATAAACTTTAAAAAATTTCCAAGTGGCTTTTGATTTTTTTGCTAATTAGTAGTACTAATGACCAAAATTTAGATGCTAGGTGTAACTGATTCCTAAGTGACTTCTTCCATAGCTCCAATCACGATGCTTCATGTGAAAAAACAATGAGGGCTTTGCAATTTCCTAAAATTTTGAAGCTCTTCTAAAACAGTTTACAAAGATGAAATTCAAAGAAATTATAATGTGTGCTGCTTTCCTGTCCCTATGTGAAAGTTGTCTGTTAGTTAAACTCACAGTAGAACTGTGTTCTATAGTCTTTCTGGATGTCTATTTTTAAATCTTACTGTGAGAATTGGCCCACTGGGTAACTTCTCAGGATTAATAAGGTACTGGGAACTGGAGGAAGCCCTTTGAATGTATACTCTTTGTAAACTCAAGTTGAAAAACAGAAAGTTAAGAATGGCAGGAAGAAAAAGAAAGTACCTAAACAAAGCAAATGCAGTGGAAGGCTGCCATGAGAAATAACCAACACAGAAAAGACTGTTGTTTCCTAAGAGGCTGGTTGCCCAAATACAAAGTTCTTAAGACTTATTCAGAAGTCTTCATGTAATATTTAACAAAACAGCAATACCCCTCCACTCAAATCTATTTTATTTTATTTATTTATAAGACAGGGTTTCACTATATGGCTCAAGCTAGCCTCGAACTTGGATTCATGTTGCCTCTGCTTTCTGAGTGTTAAAAATCAAGCTCTGCCCAGGTTCTATCTTTACAATATATTTTGCATGACTAAAATATATTTACTGGTTGCATCTCCTTTAAAACTTTAGTCCCAGCAATCAGGAGGCAGAGGCAGGTGGATCTCTGAGTTCAAAGCTAGCCTGGTCTACATAGTGAGTTCTAGGTCAGCTGGGGCTACAGAGAGACCATGTCTCAAAAAGACCAAGAAATGTTTTAAAATTATATTATTATCATTTTCTTTGGGGGGGGGCGGTAACCTAATGAACTCATAAATTTATTGGGCTTCCTAACAGAACATAGGGTGGGGGTTCATTTACATAAGAGTGGGCGTCTCTCCATTTACAGCTATGCTGGAAAGTCCATACTCAAATACAGATCCTGTGACAGCTATACAAAATGGCAAGGGAGATGCCTCATGGTGTTCTCAGCTTATATAGCCTTAGTCCTTCCCCCACATGCAGCCAAGGTTGACTGACTGGGAGGGGAATTATAAGAATGGTGATGACCATTCTTACTGTGTGTGAATGTGGGAAATGGTGTATCATGGCACATAATGTGGAGAAAATCAGAGGACTTTAGAGAGTCAGTTCCTGCTTTCTATTTTGTTGAGGCAGGGTCTTTGTTTCTGCTACCACTGCGAACTTCAGGTTGGCTGGCCTGAGAGACGCTAGCTGATTCTTTCATCTCTACCTCCTATCTTGTCATAGGAGTACTGAAATTATAGGAGCACGCATTCAGCTTTGTAAGCAACTTCCGGGGATCTAACTCAGGTCCTCAGGCTTTGTATAGCAGGCACTTTTACCTGCTGAGCTATCTCCTCAGCCTTTATCTCTTTTAAAAAAAAAAAGAAAAAAAAAAGCCAGCTATAGCCTATCTATCAAAAGTGATTCTAAATCACAGTTTTTTAAACCCTTAAAACTGCTAAGATAAAAGCCCAAAGGGAAGAAAGGAAAACTGAAATTTAAAGGGTGCTATATCTGAAAGTAAATGAACACCGAAAGCTTCATTCTGTTAATTACTCATCAGTTTTGTCATTTGT